GAGGCCCAGCCCGGCATGTGCAGGTGAATCTCGTGGCCGTCTTCGTCTTTGGAACGGAGCTCCTTGCCGAAGAAGGTCATGCAGACCAAACGCGACATGTAGAGTGCAGTCAGGCCTGCACCCAAAAAGCCCATGACCCACAAGGCGCGGTTTTCCTGCCAGGCGTAAGCCAGGATGGCGTCTTTCGAAAAGAAGCCGGACAGCGGCGCGATGCCGGCCAGAGCCAGCGTCGAAAAGCCGAAGGTCCAAAACACGACCGGGAGCTTTTTACGGAGCGCGCCCATTTTGCGCATGTCCTGCTCGCCGTGCATCGCGTGAATCACGGAGCCCGAACCGAGGAACAAGCAGGCTTTGAAGAACGCGTGGGTTACCAAGTGGAAGATCGCGATGCTGTACGCGCCGAGGCCCGCGGCCAAGAACATGTAACCGAGCTGCGACACCGTAGAGTACGCGAGGACTTTTTTGATGTCGTTTTGTGCAAGGCCGATTGTCGCGGCGAAGAGAGCGGTAATGCCGCCGACCCAACCGACCACTTCGAGCGCGGCCGGGGCCATGTCGAACAGGAAGAACAAACGGCACACCATGTAGACACCGGCGGTGACCATGGTGGCGGCGTGAATGAGCGCGGAGACGGGCGTCGGGCCGGCCATCGCGTCCGGGAGCCAGACGTACAGCGGGACCTGGGCGCTCTTGCCGCAGGCGCCGATGAACAGCATCAAGCAGGCGAAGGTGATAATGCCGCCGACCGAGTAACCGGCGAAGATTCCGGTTTGCAGGATAACTTCCGGTGTGGTCGCGGAGGCCGCGGCGCGTAGCTCGTAAAAGTCCGCGGTGCCGAACACGGCGATCAAGGTGAACGTGCCGAGCAAGAACCCAAAGTCGCCGATGCGGTTAACGATGAACGCTTTTTGACCGGCGGCCGCCTTGGCGGTGTCGGTGTACCAAAAGCCGATGAGCAAGTAGGACGCGAGGCCCACGCCTTCCCAGCCGATGAACATGACCGGCAACGAACGGCCGATCACCAACACGCTCATCGCGAAGATGAAGAGGTTCAAGTACGCGAAGAACCGCCAGTACGCGGGGTCGTCGTGCATGTACTCGGTTGAGTACAAGTGAATGAGAAAACCGACGCCGGTAACGACCAGGATCAAAACCGCCGACAGTTGATCGAGGCCGACCGTTAAGCCGATGTCGAAACGACCGACGGCCATCCAGGACCACAGCTCGTACTCGAGCGGTTTTCCTTCACGCAGGAACAGGATCACCGACGTGAGGGCGACGGCGAAGGAGCCGAAGCAGGCCGAAAGGCCCGTGAGGTTGACGCCGGTATGGGACATCCGCGGACCAAAAAGGCCCAGGGTTGCCGCGCCGAGCAGCGGGATCAGAGGGATGAGGATCAGCGCCGCGTACCAGGCTGTATCGGTCTGCCAGACATTCATGGAGCGGCGCGAAGCTACGGGGGGCCGTGAGGACGGTCAAGCGCCAAGCCGACAAAGCGGAGGGGCAAAAAGGGCCAGGAGCCCCGGGGAGTTAGCGTTTCGTGATCAGGCTTCATTGCGCGCTGGGACTGTGCCTTGGCTCGTTGGGCGGATATCTGAGCCAGGCACTGGGTCGGCCCCATATAGGCTCAAGTGAAGCGCACTCTATTCGCCGGCTTCTTGATCGTCCTGGGCGGCGGATGTGGTGATGAATCCGGCCCGTTGTCCGACGGGATCAACGATGGCGGCGACATCGTCGATTGGGGCCATTCGTCGGCCGACGGCATCGGCCTCAGCCACGACGGGGGCACGGGCGAGGTTGACGGCGGTGTGATCGACGGCGGCGAGTCCGCGTGTGTCTGGACCGGCGTCAACGCAGGTCGTCCTGACCTTGAGCGCGGACGCATCAGCGGCGATGGCTGTAACGAATGCAGCTGCATCGAGTCCGGGATCGCATGCACGCAGATCGGATGTGGCGGCCAGCAGACGCGCTGCTCAAGCCAGGCAGATTGCAGCACGGGTTCGTTTTGCCACTTTGACCCCGGCTGCGTCGAAACGATGGGCTACTGCATGGTCGGACAAAGTCGATGCAAGGATGAAACGAATCCGATCGCGCCGTCCGGACAAACGTCCGACGTCGTGTGTGGATGCGATGGCACAACGTACCAAGCGACCGAGTGCTTTGGTGTTCGCTGGCGCGACTACGGTCCCTGCTAGCCTGAAACGCAGGCTACGTTTCATTGCAACGCATCCGAACTTTCTCGGCGATCGCACAAACTATCTTTTGGTTTCATCGAAAACTCATCGGGCCACGCGTCATCTTTTGCAAAACTCATGAACTCAAGACTCAAAAATCTGAGCCCAAGTCCCGATGCAATCTCTATAGACACCCATGCTTCGCTCTACTCTCGCCTGCTCACTCATCGTGTTCCTCGCCGCCTGCGGCAGTGACCTGGAATCAGCCAATGATGGCGGACCCGACGGCGGCTCCAACAACGCGGACGGTGGACAAGCTGATACCGGCAACGAAGACGCCGGCGTTGCTTGTACTTGGACGAGTAGTGGCACCGTCGGACGCCCAGACTTGGAAGAAGGACGCATCGCCGGCGCCTTCTGCAATGAGTGTGAATGCGGAAGCAACGGCACCATAACCTGCACTCAAATTGCGTGTCCGATGGAAACTCGGTGCACCAGCAACACGGATTGCGGCGCGCAAGGTTTTTGTCACTTCGACCCAGGTTGCGTTGAAACCATGGGTTACTGCATGTCTGGTCAAAGTCGCTGTAGCGGCGTGAACCCGGTAGCCCCCGCCGGCCAAACGGCAGGTGTTGTTTGTGGCTGCGACGGCATGAACTACGAAGCGACCGACTGCTTCGGTATTCGCTGGGAAGATTACGGCCCCTGCTAGTGTCCCGACCTGAAGACACGGATCGAGTTGTGATTTTCGCCGATAAGGGAGGCGATGAGTGCGCCTCGCAAGCTCAAGATCACGGTTGAAGATCGAGCCCAACTCACCGAATGGGTCCGTTCTCCAAAGACGCCGAACGCCCTGTGTACGGCGCGACGTTGATCGGCCAAGGTCTGAGCGCGGAACAAATGTATGAGATTCGCGCGCTGGTAGACCGAGCGGTGGAGACTTGGGGTCGACGAATATTTCGTCCCCTCTGCGCCGAGGACTTGTGCCTAAGATCGTTTGCTCAAGAAATTACGCTGCATTTCGCAACCAACAAGATCATGCCGAGTCGAGCCGTACTGTTCCTTGTCGTGTTGATCGGATGTGCAGATAGCGCGGAGGCGCCCCGTGCCTGCGAAGCGGAGGCGCCTACGGTCCAGCTGAGCCCGAGGGCCGAAGGCCGCCCGTGCGATGCGAGCGTCACGTCGTCGCGCTCTGGGGATGCATCATTCGCCGATGACCATGTGCTTTGTGTGTCGGTTACGATGGATCCCGTGGAGTTCGAAGAACTCCGCTATGACTCGCGCTTTGGGCCGCTCGACGGTGGCTGCTTTTCCGAGGACTTTGGAGCCGCGATGACTGACTGCACGCGTCCCTGGCCCAGCGGGTTTCAGTGGTTTTCGGCGGATGTTGTTGTCGATGGCGTTGCCCTTAACAACGTCGGTGTTCGGAAGAAGGGGACCCTCGGTTCGGTTACGTCGGTGAGCCCCTCGCTCAAGCTTCGAACGAACAAGTATGTTGAGGAGCAGCGACTAGGGCAAACGCAGCGAATTACGTTGAACAACAACGTTGAAGACGAGGCGAGGGTGACAAGCTGTCTTGCGTACAGTGTGTTTGAGCAGGCTGGGTTGCCCGCGCCGAGATGTAATCTCGCCAACCTGGTGGTGAATGGTCGAGCCTTCGGTGCCTATACGCATATCGAGGCGCTAAAGAAAGCGTTCTTGCGTCGAGCATTTGGCAATGACCACGGGAGTCTCTACGAAGGGACAGCCGTCGACTTTCATGCCTCGTTTCACGGCCGTTGGGAGACAAAAACCAAGGACACCGATCCTCTTGCGGTGGCCATCGCCGAAATTGAAGTTGCGCTCCAGCAGTCAGATGCGAACTTGCTCTCTGCACTAGCGCCGCGGCTCAACATCGACAGGTTTATCGCCTACTGGT